CCTTTACAATGCGCTACCACCACCTGTATATCCAGTTCCAAAACATCATCACTCCAAAATAAAAGCCTGTACCTATTAAAGAGTTACTCTCCATTTTCCCTTCCGTCCTGCCCCTGGCAGCCACCAATCTGCTTTCTGTTTCTATAATTACCTATTCTGAATATTTCATATAAGTAGAACCATATGTGACCTTTTGTGTCTGATTTCTTTCACTTAGCATGTTTTTGAGTTTTCCTCCACACTAGCATTTACCAGTACTTCATTCCTTTTTATGGCTGAATAATAATCCATTATATGTGCCACAGTTTATCCAATCATCCATTGATGGACATTCAGATATTTCTATTTTTTGGCTATTGTGCATAGTGCTGCTATGAACATTCATGTGCAAGTATTTGAGTCCCTGTCTTCAATTCTGTTGGATAGATAACCTAGGAGTGGAATTGCTGGGCCATATGGTAACTCTATGTTTACTTTCTGAGGAACTGCCAAATTTTTCCTGAGCTGCCGCACCACTTTACACTCCTCCCAGTGATGTATGAGGGTTCCAATTTCTCTATGCCCTGGCCAACGTTTGTTACTTGTTTTTGTTTTAATTATACTCATCCTTATTGGTGTGAAGAGGTATCTCATTGTGGTTTTGATTTGCAACTCTTTAATGATTAATGATGTTGAGAATCATTCCATGGGTCTGTTGGTTATTTGTATGTCTTGGAGAAATACCTGTTCAAGTCCTTTGCTCATTTTTTAATGGTGTTTTTTATTGTTGTTGTTGAGTTTTAGGAGTTCCTTACATAATTTTGGATACTAGACCCTTATCAGGTAATATGATTTGCAATTATTTCTCCCATTCTAAGTTTTCTTTTCACTTTCTTGATAATGTCCTCATTTTTTCACTTCATTTCCTTAAGTAGTATGTACATTTGGAAAAAACTACAAATGGAGAAGCAGTTTCTTGTGTATCCTTTTAGTGACAATCTGTGCATGTACATGCAAATCAATGTCTATTCTCTCCTCTCCCCTTTTTACATAAATGGTACTTTTTCACTGAATGTGTCTTGACAGTTCTATTTCAGTATATGTACATCTGCCTCAGTCTTGCTAACTGGTGTGCAGTATCCCATTGTATAGATATCTCATAGTTTATTTAGTAAGCACCCTCTTTTATGGACATTTAGGTTGTGACTTTTGACTGTTAAAGATACACACAAGTTAGTATAAATACAAGCTAGTTCATCTTCAGGATAGATACCGAGAAGTGGAAATTGTTATTAAGTATGGTTGTATTCATATTTGGAGGTTGCTTCCTCGGCATTAAGAATCTGCTAAATTAATAAAAATATGTTATTAAGTATTTTTTATGTCAAACTTTATATATAGTCTATGTAATTTTTTTTTTTAGGAGTTAGAAGTAGCCGAACCAGCCTTGACACAAGGCTTTGTATAGTAGGTAGGCCTTTCTTTTCACACCTCTTTCACAGGGTTTACCCTTCTAATCTTCCTCAGAAGCAATTGTTCTCAGCCAGGAAACAGTTTCTCAGCATGCCAGCTTTTCTAGTGTTAAATTTTAACACTTTGCTGGTTGTAGAAAGAAAAGCATAACATGACTTAAGAGTGGAAAGAAACTTCTGAGCTAACAAATCCTCAGTTTTTAAAGTGACAAAAAAGAACTGAGGCCTGCCCTGATTTCATGCAGCTCCTGTCAGTGTTAAGAGAAACGAAGTCTCTTGTTTCCCAGAACAAGGTTCTCCATGCTCACAGCAATGTCTTGCCTCATTCTTGTTAAAGACCTTGAAAATGCTACTTCTGTCTAGGTAGAGGTTCTGGGGTAGCAGCAGAACTGTGACCACGTCTCTGACACTAAAATAAATCACATAACTATCTTACCAACTATGATGTCAGGCCCTAGGTGAAGGGCTTCTTAGCAATACTGGTACATTAAAAGGTGATTTTTTAAATTACTTTAAAATTTTGTTTTCTTGATTTAAAAATTGATAAATGCTTCAATCTGTCAATCACCATAAACTAAAAGCATAGAGAGTAAATGGATTTGATACTAGAGGTGAATCTTTTATATAAGTTGATAATTTTGTTGAAAGTATGCTTTATTTTTTCATCTCTGTGATTATTTATTATTTATCCCTACCTTGGGCAAAGGAAAATAAAGCACAGAAATTAGGCAATAAGTAAACATTTATTTACCCTTTTGAAAACATTTGCCCTTTATGAAGAGGGCACCTAACACTTGTCTTCTAGGAGCATAAATTGTATTTGGTAAGATAAAACATTCCAGACAATGTTGTTATTCTGCCCTGCATTTTCAATTTAGTGTTCAGTTAATTTAGATAGATAATGTATTTTTATTAGAATTCTGATCCTTTTGTATGAAAGAATGTTCCACTAGAAACTAACCAAAGATAGTACCAGGGCTTCGGATAGATCTATCACGAATTAAAGCAAGATACCCTTAAGAAGTAATCCACTTAGAAGATGACAGTGTACTTTATAGTGGTAGTTCTAAGAACCTGATGTCATACATACATATATTTTAACATAGCATCTTGGTACCAGTATTTGGCTTTAGTTGTGGGAGAAGTCAATGATACCTACTGGATAACTGTCTTAAGAGTTCTAAGAAACTCAGCAATGTGAGAATCAAGGCTTAGTGTACAGTAGGTTTAAACTAGGTTTTTATCCTTGAGGATAAAACAAGCACACTTAGAATGCATGCTTATGGGATCAATTAATCCCTTAACATAAGAGAAAAATGTCACAACTTTACTGACATTTATAGTGGATACTGTGGCATACCATCCAGACATACCCTCTCTCCCCAACCCCTCACCCCGCGCCCCCCCACCCCAGTCACTGCCCCAGCTTCTGAGAATGTTGGTTGATGGCCCTCAGCTGAGATTCTCTCCAGGTATTTTCTTCACCCTAAGGTCATGCCCCTCGGGTCAAATGACTAATCTCTTCTGCTGGGATATAAAGTCCCTCCCCCTTGCCTTAATATGGCCCAACTGCAGGGCCATCCCAGCTCTCAGTTCTCAGAGGACTTTCCTGACTGCATCCCAGCCCAACTTCTCCCTCCTTCCCAGTCTTGCTACTTTTACTCACTCAGAGAGGTAGATCTGAAAGCATTCCCATTTAAACTTTGCACCCTAACCTCCATCTCTATTCCCCCAGGGAACTTAGCCTTTGACAACATTTGAAACCCAAAGCCAAAACAGAGAAACTTGATTTTTCACTGAAACAACCAAACTATTCCTGTTGAATTTTTCTTGCCTTTTATTTTCTTCTATTAAGACAAAAAAAATTACCTTTTTCTGATTATTTTTTATGAACATGTAAAACCACCAATTAATGCTTGCTTCACTTGGTAGAGCATCCAGACATCTTGAAGCTCCCCACCCCCACCCCATCCCACCTGTCTCCATCCACACCCACAATCATTTTAATACCTGTTCTCCAAAGTCAGGGATATTAAAGGAGCTGAACTCCAATTAAAATACTTTCTAATAACATACCTGAATGGGACTGGCCTTTCATTACAGTGTTGATGATACTGCACGGCTCCTCGTTTTCAAAGACCATCCACGTTCATGGCACACTACTGGCATTTTATGGATTTTATGGATTTGCTAAGCTATGGATATTTCTATTTCATGTGCATTTATCAGAATTTTGTTGAACCAGTACATCACAGAATGCTCAGAATTTTTAGTTCATAATTCATCTTTATTAAAGTAAAACCTCTAAAATATATGTAGAAAATAATGTGTTGGGTATTTTCACATCCAGGAAGTCATTGAAGGTTAAGAGGAAGGAGGAGGTCTTATTTCTAATGTTTTACAAAGGAAATCTAGTACCAAATACTATACTGAGATTATATAATATTCTTGTCATGCAAATTTGTTGAAGCTGTTAAGCTTGTACACTGTTAAAAAAAAGTATGTGACTTCATAAAGTCTGTCAAAGATAATCATAAGACAATGAAGCAATGATTTAACCCAAAGACCAGTCCCCTGTAAATGAAATGTATCTTTTTCATTCAACCAATACTTGGCTCTGAGACACTGGCTACTGGGAGGCAGCCAGGGAAGAGGCACGATCGAGCAGTCCTGGCCCTCAAGAGGCTCCCCATCTTCTGGGGGAGTCCGGACACAGAGTAAGCACTTATAAGTACAGTATGGAAGGAGCTTCTCCTCCAGGGAGCTAACCTTCCATAATAGGTGAGATTTAAAACCATTTTCATTGTCACTCTATGCGTTACAAAGAGGAGGGGAAAGCCTAGGCAAGAAATACAAGAACAACATTTGAGGAAAGGGAGTGCTAAGGTAAAACCTACAGCTTTTAAAGAAAGCCTGTGCACAGCACATGGAGGGCCGAGATTTTAGGGGTTTTCAAAAAGCAGCTAAAATTTTATTTTTACTTAATCCTTTGTTTATATACCTAAATCAGAAATTAAGCCAAAAACCATGAAATGAGACCTCCGAGAACTCATATCCTACTCTCAAATAGCCAAAACTATTTAAGACCTAAATGGGGCAGATAAAAAATATCTCAAGAGCTTTAACAGCTCAGGGGATATATACATCAAGCCTCTTGTTTTATATTCAGAAAAGTAGAAAACTGGGCTAAACATATACCTCAGAATGTATGTAAAATACTTTGCATGGGTTAGCCTCACCAAAACAAGCTCACTGCTTTGACGACACCCTTATACTGGCCCTTCATTATATCATCAGGGGAAACTGTGTATCAAGAGGGAGGAGTGGGCGCCTGGGTGGCTCAGTTGGTTAAGCGACTGCCTTCGGCTCAGGTCATGATCCCGGAGTCCTGGGATCGAGTCCCGCATCGGGCTACCTGCTCGGCAGGGAGTCTGCTCTTCCCTCTGACCTTATCCCCTCTCATGTGCTCTCTCTCTCTCAATCTCTCTCTCAAATAAATAAATAAAATCTTTAAAAAAAAAAAAAAAAGAGGGAGGAGTATGGGACACAGATATCTCATACGTTCCTTTAATGGGGGTTAAATTTTTCAGAGTCAAATAGGACTAAAAAGTCATAGCAGTGGGACAGAGTGCTGCTTTGTTTTAAATATGCGCTTTGTCCCTTGAGAACCTTTGGTTAGACTTTTTGTTCAGTAAGCCATTTCATTAAATGTGGTTCAATTCCCAGTCTAAGACCTTCACTGACACACTCAATAACAACAGTCTTATAAATTAAAGTCAACTATAAGTCCTCCCTCTGGTTTCTTTTCTGTGCTTTGTAAATATATACATCTTTTTCAGGATCATAGTGAACCTTACTCACAGTAAATTGCCTCTCCAGCATTGCTAAGAAGTTGTTGTCCCGTTCATAGCGAATTCGGCAAGCTAAAAGAATCACGGAGCGGTTGCTACTGAGATGTTCCAAAGTCTTCAGAAGATCTGCGAATGTTTCTTCTAAATATATGATATCAGCTCCAAGTATCAGGTCAAATTCTCCAGGTGAATAACTCCCCAAATTTTGTCCCCAAGTCAGCTCCTTAACAACAGCTTTGGGTTGGATATGGGGAGGTAAGTTGGCTTGAACGTTTGATTTAAGAAATTCTAATGCTACTTTCCGATCCGTGATAGTCACATGAGCACCTAGAATGTGGGAGAGAGAGACAGTTATGTGCACATCAATACAACTAATAGGTCGGGGCGGGGGGGGGGGGTCAAGTTAAACAGCAGGGTGAGTGTCTCTACTATTCCACGAGTACCCAGAAGATCATGCCCTTCATGGATGGCTGCAGAAGAACAGAACAATGACCAGTAGCTCCTTCTGCACTGCTTACTGGCAAACAACCTTTGATTTGCCTCTCTGACACACCTGTTTGCTAAGCTCTGCTGATAAAATGCAGAGTCCCAAATGACAAGCTGAAGCTTCTGAATTCTGCAGGCAGAGCTGGCCCACCCTCCACAGGTGTCTACCACTATACTTCCTTCATTAGGTCATGATCTTCAAGTCAGTAGACCTGAGGGTAAAATGGAATCCACAGAAGAAAAATCTAGGAGCAAATAATTATGAAGATGACAAGATACCCAAAACAGGGGAAGGCCACTTTCTGGAGTCTAAGCCTTAAAAGGAATCAAGGGAGGGCGCCTGGGTGGCTCAGTTGGTTAAGCGACTACCTTCGGCTCAGGTCATATTCCTGGAGTCCGGGGATGCTCAGCAGGGAGTCTGCTTCTCCCTCTGACCCTCCCCCCTCTCATGTTCTCTATCTCATTCTCTTTCTCAAATAAATAAAATCTTTTAAAAAAAGGAATCAAGGGAGAGATTAATTGGCTATTACAAAATCCCAGTCCACATCTGCTGTTAGGAAGCAGCATTATGTATTTTGTGTGTGTGTGTATAATTTTTGAAAAGTGGTAAACTTAGAAATTACTCGATTGTATCAAAGTACTATAGGTTAAAATGTGAGATCATGTTTTCTAAATGCTCAGTTTCTACATGCGGTGTATAGAATTAATGAGGCAATATTCCGTTAATATTTCTTGTGAGTTGTTTACCATGAACCAGTAAACTGGTAGTTTACCCTTAAGGTGAAAGAACCACATAAGGTCGGCCCTGAAATACCTCATCTGCATTGCAGTAACAATATAATATGTGTAGTCCTGTTTAGTTTGGGCGTTGTAAATTCTGAGATTTAACATTGTGATTCATTCTTTCATAAAACGACCTCTCATTTGCACACTTCTTTAGTTGGTAATCCTCATGGGCAATCCCCCACGGGACTCCAGTCCAGCGATAGCAAGCACCACTTCAGTGGCAGCTCAGACTGATGTTTCTCATCTTGACTTGTAATGTTAGGACACTGTGTAATTCTACATGACGTTTACAGTCCTAAGTGTGATACTGAAGAAAACGCTCAAGCTGTTAGATTTTACAAGAGTGCTCCCACCACTCTGACCATTCAGTGCTAGACAGCATGCTGCCCGATGAGCAGAATTCGGAGATACTTCTCATCTCTCCTGATGATAAAAAAAATCACAGCCTTTTCCTGGTTTAACTCAGAACTTTATCTCTGGCTTTCTTAACAATCTGCATTTGTGGGCAATCCTGGAGTGATCTAGTCTTTTGCATATCATCTCGGTGTTCATTTTAATACTTCTTACATGTAGACCTTTTCAATGCCTGTCTCAGGGGGTTTCTGAGGCTACTGCTAACCAGCTAGGGGTTCCAGGAGTTTTGCCAGGATCCTGATGTGAGCTGGCCACTCCCCTGTAACATCTGTCAATTGTACAAATAGCCAAGTAGCTACCATCAGCCAAGGGACAAAAGCCCCCCGCCCTCACAGAGCTTACATTCAAGTGAGGAGCCAGGCAGTAAGAGGAGTTTTTAAAATGAGAATAGCCAGTACTCATTTATAGATAAGGACTAGGGGGAAAACAAAGCAGGAAAGAGAGATGTGAAATGTCTGAAAGTAAGGGAGGTGGGGCTGACATTTCAGACCCACCGAAAAGGGAAGGCCTCACTGAGAGGGGGACTCAGATGATGGTCCGGAGGAAGTGAAGGTATAACTGAGTGCGTCGCACAGGAAACAGTCTTCCTGGCAGGCAGAAGAGCAAGTGCCAAGGCCTACAGGGGGGCAGGCGAGGAGGCTACCGTGGTTGGAATGAGTGAATGAGGAATGAAGTAGTAGAAGATGAGGTCGAGGAAGTAACGGGCAGGAGGCAGATGGCCTCTGCAGGCCTCATAGGTCACATTTCAGAAAGGCTTTGGCTTTTTTGGAGACGGGAAGCCAGTGGAGAGTGCTGAGCAGAAGTGCCAGCGATTTCAGGCTTTAACAGAATTTGTAGCAGTAGGTCAAGGAGTCGTGTGAAGAGGTCACCACAATGACCCAGCTGAAGGAGGCGGGTGGTTTGCCCCTTGCTCTAACCACACCAGGCCCCCACCCCAGGCCAGCTCCCAAACACACCTGCCCAAGAGCAGCCTCTCCTGAGAAGCACTCCCCCTCACCAGCCACTCGGGTTTCATCACCCAGATGTCATCCCTGCACAGGGCAGCTCTGTTTGTGGTTTCCTTTTGGGTGTTTGTTTAGGGAGGGCCATGGAAAAGGTCTTAGATTTCTTTGAATCTGTCAGTTTCCTTTGAATCTTTCTTCCCCTTGTGATTTGGGGAACATATAGATCATTTGCCCTGTAGTTTCCCACAATCTGGATTTTGCTGATTGTACCATTTGTGTAGTTTAGCATGTTCCTGGCTCCTCTGGGTCTCCTGTAAATTTGAGTTTACTTTTTTGAGCAAGACTATTTCAGAGGTGTTAGCGTGTTCTTCATCAAGATGTATGCAGGAGACCTGGTAGGCTCTATTTTTGTGATGTGAGCAGGCACAAATACCCAGTGCCCAGATCTTTAATTCACTAGATTCCTTTTGCATTTGTTTGTTGAGAAATCTCTATAAAGGGAAGTTTCTTTCAACTACTATTTGGTTACTCATTTTGTACAGAAACTGAATAGGATAAACTTTGCTCCTCACTCCCCTTTTATACACCAGATTCCAAAGAACTGGTTTCTAAGCATCCTCAAAAGATGACTAATTGGGTTTATTTTGTTGCTGTTGTATCATGAACTCATGGATTAAACATATTTGATATATTTAAATCCAGTGCCATTATCAATATTGATGTTCAAACTGTCCTATCTTTTGCCAGTGGACTTTTGACACAACACCATGTCACCCTTGTTAGCTTCCTTGCTATCTGGTATAATGAGATATACTGGGTCATCTTATCTATTTCCTGCTACAGAAAATACATTTCCATTACACAATTTCAGCCACTTAAAATTTTTTTGATTCTTTTTCTTTTTTAGATAGGAGACAGCAAGTTTGTAGGCTGATGGGAATGGTCAGTTGGAAAGAGGGAAGAAAAGTGATTATGCGGGAGAGGGGAGAGGGGCTTGGCCCGTGCAGGGCAGACCCTGCGTGTGAGAGCATCCCACGGAGGGCAAAGGTGGAGCCGGTGGGCCCAGGCACAGGAGAGTTAGAGGCAGCGTGGGAGGCTACAGAAGTTCTCCTCTGCCCGCCGCAACCTCCTCAGTGAAATAAGAAGAAACGTCACCAGCTGGGAGTGTGAACAGGGGACGGAGGAGCTCAGCAGAGTAAGAGAGGAAGCAGAATGGGGCTGCTCAGTGGCATCACCTGCCCCCTGAGGTTCCTGAGCCACGATGTGAAGTGAGACCCCACAGCAGCATGCTGCCCACAGCCACACGGGGCTGCACGGACACGGGCCTGGAATCAGCCGAGGGCTACCCTACACCTGCTATTCAGCCTAGCGAGGAGAAGCAAGGACGGGCAGAGTGCCCAGGGATGTGAAGATGGTGAAGAAATGACCCCCCGGGAGGCTTGTGCTGTGTGTGGAGGGCGCAGCAACATTTAGCCTATGACAGACTCATGGGAGCGGACCCAACACGACCACAGGTCCCTCGGCCACTCACTCAGTCATGGAGAAAGAACGCATGAACCCCTACCATCACTTTAGTTGGTACTTTTGTAAGCAACACCTTACTTTATTCGAACATGGGAGCACATACTATGTACTAGAGACACAGATGAGCAAAACAATCCTTGGCCTCTAGGAGCTCAGTCTCAGGAGGGAGAGAGACACAGAAGCACAACTATGACGCAACGTCGGGAGTAAAATATGGAGACGCGGTTGCCAGGAAATGATGTGGTCACAAAGGAGACCCTCTTAGAGAGGGGCAGAGGTCAAAGAATTCGGAAGGAAGGGAAATCTGAGCTTACACTGGGAAGATGTGGCATTAACCAGGGGAAAGGGGTGAAGAAAAGGCATTCAGGGCAGAAGGGACAGGCCAGAAGCCACGGGTGTGTCCCTGGAACCGCAAACAGTGCAGCCGGTCTGAAACAGGAGCCCGAAGAGTCAGGCAAAACGGGGTTAGAACCTCATGAGTCTTAGGCCGTGGGGAGGCACAGGGCTTTTTTTTGTTGTTTTTAACTAGGCTCCACACCCACTGTGGGGCTTGAACTCATGACCCCGAGATCAAGAGTCGCATTCTCCACCGACTGAGCCAGCCAGGTGCCCCGAGCACTTCTGCAAGGAGGATGGGCTGCTCTGGCCTACTGGGAAGTGGGTCTGAGAAGGCAGAGAGGTGAGGTGGTGAGGATGCGCATAGCATCACGGAGGAGACAGATGCTGAGCGCTCCAGCCAGGCCAGGGGGCACGCAAAGGGAGAACTGGAATCAAGAAACTTTTAGAAGACAGATCAGCGGGGCTCAGGGAGGGAGGTGGGGCTGAGGGAGCAGGTCAAGCCGCCGCTGGCTTGAGTGATGACTTGGGTGGCCACACTCAGAACAAAAGCGAAGGATGAGTTTGCAAAGGGAAGAGTTCAAATGTAAACACACGTTCTGTTTGAGGTGCTGAGGAATAGCCAGGCAGAGACACCCAGCCTTCAGTGAAATACAAGTGGAAAGCTCAGTGGGGACTTACACACCAGGAGTACAGAAAACTAAAAGACAACTCTTTCCTGAGCGCTATATTTTAAGACTGTTCCCAGACTTGGTTGGCATCAAATCACCTCAGAAGCTTTTAAAATCCAGATTCCCTAACCCCACCCCAACTTACAGAACCCTATCTTAAAAATGAGATAGTTTTTTTCTAAGAATAGTTTCCACACAGTACAAAGAGATTTTCAAATAAGAACCAGGGTTTAAGAGTCAGAACTGGATTCCAATTCTAACTCCACAATCCATGAGCTTCGTGACCTTGGGCAGGTTTCCTAACCTCTATCAAGCCTTCATTTCACCACAGAGAGCGCCAAGCGGACCCACCCACCACACAGGGGCATGGTGAGAAGGACCTGGAAACTGCCCACTAATTAACAGGTGTTGTTTTTTCTTTTAACAGGAAAATCTCATCACCCATTATTAAAGTTCTGCAAAGAACTCACCAGGGTTCTGTTTTTTTTTTTTTGGCTTTTTAATATAATCTGTCTTTTCCTTCCTCCCCCCTCAGAATTAGAATGGAAGCTTCCTCAGAAGGCAGGTATCCACAGCACCTAAAACCAGGCCCGGCTTTTGGTGGGTGTTTCCTGAATTCAGGAATAAATGACTCAGGTTATGGAAAATGAAAATACTTTAAAAAAGAGAATGATCAACATCTAACATTTCAAAATCATTACCTATTCTAGTTCCCACTGCCTCCTTTCTAAAAGACTAACTTTTTCTTTACCCTCAGGTTTCAACCTCCAAACTAACGCCTAATATTTTGCAGCCACAACAAATAATGGGTATGCAAATCACATAGCACAGAGAGGTACACACAATGTAACGTTGAATGAGACATACAGGTGTGTATGTATGTCCATATACATGTGTGCACACATACACACACACCTCTATAACAATGAACTACAACTATGATTAAAAATACAGACGGAGGTGGGGCCCCTGGGTGGCTCAGTGTGTTACGCGTCTGCCTTGGGGTCAGGTCCTGGTCCCGGGGTCCTGGGATCCAGCCCCGCGGCGGGCTCCCTGCTCAGTGTGGAGTCTCCCTCTCCTGCTCCTCCCTGCTTGTGCTCTCTCTCTCTCTCAAATAAATAAATAAAATCTTAAAAAAAAAAAAAAATACAGGTGGAGGAAAAAGAACGGAAGGAAATACACCAAAATGGCAACAGTGCATATGTTGCAGAGTTATGAATAATTAGGACGTTTGATGGGTTTGTCGTCCCCCTTCTTTATTCTGCTTCTAGCGCTATTTTTGAAATAGAGTGACATCACTTTTGTAAAAGAAACATTACTTTTCATAATCTTCTAGTTTGTCCAACTCTTATTCCAGAATTCCTTGAGTATCTACTGTGTGGCAAGTGGTGTCTGGGGCCAAGGACACACAGAGTAAGGTGCAGTCCCGTGTCTCAGGAGCTTCAGCGGGCCAGGACAGACAGACACAAGGAACCAGCACCTGTTACAAAATGTGACACAGCTGGGGCACAGGCGGTGAGCAGACCAAGCGCTCTGGGGAGAAGAAATCAGGCAGCAATGAATTCTGTGCGGCAGGAAAGGATTCAAAGAGGTGACAGGGAAGCCGGGCCAGGAAGCACGCATCCCCCGTCCCGAGCACAAGGTCTGCGGTTCCGTTCCAGCCGCTCCCCAGCCATCCATCTTGTGAGGCAACAACTAACGGGTCCCTCCCTCTGCGCTCGTCTTTGAAGAAGCTCATCCCAGTTTTCCCCACCCCACAGACCCAGATTTCTAGATCACAAACAGAAATACTCAGAGGGGCAATCAACATTTATTTGAGCATTTGCTTTGTGCCAGTCAATGAGCTAACCGCTTCCTATGCCTGATCTCATTGGATCCGCACGCATGAACTAGTAACTCCATTTTATAGGGAAACTGAAGTGGAGAGATTAAGCAAGTTGCCCAAGGTCACAGAGCTAGTAAGAGTTAAAAGAGGTGTCAAAACCAAGTATAACTTGGGGCGCCTGGGTGGCTCAGTCGTTAAGCGTCTGCCTTCGGCTCAGGTCATGATCCCGGGGTCCTGGGATCGAGCCCCGCATCGGGCTCCCCACTCCGCGGGAAGCCTGCTTCTCCCTCTCCCACTCCCCCTGCTTGTGTTCCCTCTCTCGTGTCTCTCTCTGTCAAATAAATAAATAAAAATCTTTAAAAAAAAACCAAGTATAACTCTAAACCTATGCACTTTGCCAACTAGTCTCTCTACACCAGCTGATGCAGCTGTGCAGTTCTGGGGAAACAGAAGAAACCTCATTTCCCTTCCAGGTAACCCCTCTCACATCAGCAAAGTTAGTGTCAAGGAAAGATAATAAAGAGCCACAGTGTCTGACAAGCCTGTTGTTTGACTCTCAAGTCTCCACAGGACTTCACAAAGGGGCTTAATCTCCCAGAACCCCAGTTTCACTGGCAAAATGAAAGTTAAAAATAATATCTAACATCCATGGAGATGTTTTAAGGCTAACAAAAGGCAGTGTATGAGCAAGGGCTTCATCAGTGCCTGTACGGGCTATGGTGTGAGACAGATGGAAACCTAGATCCCCACCACGCGGCCCCTGCGCCCCATCACATTTGGGAAGGCAACATCTAAACAGAGAAAGGAGTACTGAAAAAAAGAAAAGTTACCAGAAAGAGGACACAATAAAGGAGGGGTTTTCGTGGGTCCTTGAGTACCTGTACACTATGTAATGGAATTCCAGCTCCTGACCACCAAAGTGTGGTCTGAGTACCAACAGTGTCGCCATCGTCATCCCCTGGGAGCTTGTTAGAATTGGAGGCTCTCAGGCCTGACCCCAGACCTACAGAAGCTGAAACTGCATTTTAACAATACTGAAGTGATAAATGTTATATATTGTGTCTTAGAAGGTGGCCTATCCTATCATTGGGTAGTTTGAACTGCATGAGCCAGAAGCTATAGAAAGGAGTCAACAAAGAATAATAAAATAAAAACAAAAGCTTCAGGGCACCTGGGTGAGCATCTACCTTCAGCTCAGGTCCTGATCTCAGGGTCCTGGGATCAGCCCTGCATCCAGCTCCCTGCTCAGCGGGGAGCCTGCTTCTCGCTTCCCCCTGCCCCTCTCCACTGCTCATGCTCTCTCTCTCAAACAAATAAATAAACTCTTTAAGGGAAATAAAAAAGCTTAAAAATGCTCTAGGCCTAAGTTAATGTGTGCATACCAAACAAAAAAAAATGAAAAACCTTGATATCAATTCAGGACTGCATACTGTGAATACAATTTTTTTTTAAAGATTTTATTTATTTGACAGACAGCAAAAGAGGGAACACAAGCAGGGGGAGTGGGAGAGGGAGAAAGAGGGCCCCATCCCAGGGCCCCATCCCAGGACCCTGGGATCATGACCTAAGCCGAAGGCAGATGCTTAACTGACTGAGCCACCCAGGCGCCCCTGTGAATACAATTTTTAAATATGTCAGTACAAACTACAGCAGGGCCGACCCTTCTTAGAAGAGAAAAACCAGCCAAGTTTCCTCAGCAAGGGAACTATAGGAACGAGACTACCTGCTCTACCTGCGTCACAGGGTTAAATCCAATAGTGTATGGGAAGGCCTCTAAACTGTAAAAAAAACTATGTGTGTGAATATGAGAATTCTCTTTGAACTGAAAGTTGACTTCAGATCATATTATTGGCATAATACTGAAGGGGGCAGGAACCTAATTCAGACAACCTAATTGTCTCCTCAATTGCAATTCTAATTGCCCAAATAAATGTGTTTGCTTAAAAAAAATAAACTGAGGAGGGCAAAGCAGTCTCTCATGAGAAGTATAAATAACAGGATGAGAGCAAGAGCAAGAGAGAAGAAAGCAAGCAGGCTTGCTGGAGTTAAGGGCACCAGCAGCCGACTCATAAGCACAGGGCACAGAAAAATCCGGTAAGGGGGAAACTAATATGGGTCTGTGTCAAGGAAACAGCACTCACACCTCGCAATGAGTTCCACTCATAAAGGAGTGAGCCAGCGAACGGCACTCACCCAGCAGGGCAGCCACTATGCCCACCAGCCCGGTGCCGGCACCCAGCTCCACCGCAGAGCAGCCCCGGAGCTCCACAGCTCCCATCTCCAGATACGTGGAAAGAACGACAGCCTGAATCAAAGCACAGCAGGATGATCCAAGTCAACAAGTGCTTTAGGAACCCAAGGGTTTCGGGCGGACTTCGCACTAGCAGGAAGACATGACACACACCCCTCCCCACTGCAAGGTTCCAGTCCCAGTTTGGCAACACGCAGAAACTCAGCTGCTGCTGGGAGGGGACCCCCTAGAGCAGGCACAGACACTGCAGCCTCAGGCCCCACAAGCTCCCTCCCGGGGACAGTAAGGGTCAAGGACACTGCCCACACAACACAGGGTACCTGCTCAATCTGGCAAGTTTCACTTCTTACTCTTTGGTATATGAACTGTATCTCAATATAAAGCTGTTATTAAAAATAAGTAAATAAAGACCAGTCTTATAATCCACTGTGGTTGTCTGCAGAGGCCCAGTGGGGTACTCACCGCGTCCCAAACCACCGCCGCCACTCCCAGCTGTCTCCAGTCCTGCCGGATCTGGATCGTGTGGTTCGCAAAGGAGAAGGTGGCAAGGGGCTTGTGGAATTTCTGCAACCCCACTCCTGCTGTCTCCTCATAGGGCACCAGGGCCATTTCGCCTGCACTCGGCTCTCGGCTCCCTCAAAGCTGTTGGGCAAAAGAAGCCTGCGTGACGCTCTGGCCAGAAAAAAATGCACTCTCTTAAGTAGCCCCAAATGCTTTTTAAGGCCGTTTCTTACAAGTTCAAAAGAAGACAACGGCGGGGGGGGGGGGGGGCTTTGTCTAATTCCTTTTTGCACGTCTCTTCCTCTTCTGGGAAGGGCAATTTAGTTCTGAATCCATGCCACACGAAGTCTTTGGGAAAAGAACCCACAACCGTAGGACTCCCGCAGGATGCCCTAGGCACTCTGCTGTGACCGCTGGGTGAACTGGAGCCGCGGGAAGAGTGAGCGTAGCGGTGCTGCTAGCCCAGGGCCGCAAAGTCGTGCTTTCCGGGCCCGTCTAGACTGCAGCTGCCACCCGCTGCGGTCGGCAGGATAGTGTTTGCTGTTTTGTTTTGGTCTTCCTTCCACCCCCTCTAAATTCAGTGCGTTCAACACTGACAGCCGTGGACCCGAACCTGCACTTGGACTGAGTGTTAACCGTTTGATTCTCCGGCTTTTTGACACAGTCGCAGCTCCATCTCGCCCAGCCTGGAAGCGAAAGACACTCTGGGACCCCAAGTCGCCACCGAGGAGAGCGAGAGCCCAGGTCCCGGGGCGGACTCGGGCGTCCGGCGGCTCGGAGGCCTGCCCTGAGTCCCCCAAACCCGACCCCCGGCCCCCTCGAAAGGGCCGACAGGTACGCACTCACTTCCGGCGGGCCCCAGAGCTCCGGGAACCCGCAGGGGTAGGAGTGGGGGGTCGGGGACGGGTCCCCTAGCCGCGCGGGACGCGCCCCACCCCGGGAGTGCCGCCCGCTTCCCCGAGCTCTGGCCGCCCCCGAAGCGTGGCTGGCGACGCGGCCGGGCCCGAGGTGGGCCTCGCCTCTACTTACTGCTTGGGAGCCAGCCCCGCCTGGCGCGCCTCGCTTTCCCCGCCCCGAGCGCGGCCGCCGCAACCTCCCGCCTTAAAGGGCCGGGGGCCGGGGGCTGGGAGCCGGGAGCGGGCCAAGCACCAGCAGCGCGGGCCGGCGGCGGAGGTGGGCGGTGCGCGCGCCCGGAGACACGCGTTTCCGGTCCCTCCTACCGCGGACAGGTGTTCCCCAGTGCGCTGCGGGGCGCGGGGTCGCAGGTGTGCCGGTGCGCGCCGGAGGAGGACGCTGGGGGAGAGGAGATCGGGCCTCCGTCCGCAGGGTCCCCAAGGTATTCGGGCCGCCAAATCAGGTTCCGGGACTCCGAAGGCAGCGTGGGCGAGGAGCGCGAGGCGAGCGAGGTGCGGAGCCGCGGGCAGGCGCGCGGAGAGGGCGCGAGGGGTGCTCTGGCGGCGGGTGAGGGGGAGCCCACCAACCTGGCGCTGGCGAGGTTCTTGTGCTGGTTCCACTTCTCTCTGAGCTGGTTCTCGGCCCCGCGCGCGCGCACTGTGTGTCTGTGTGGGTTTGGTTTTTTTTTTTTTTCTAATTTGTGTGCTTGCCTGTTTTTAGTGTTAAAGGTCATTAACAGGTGTAGAGAAAGTTTGCTCCGAAGTAGACGTGGTCACCCATTCGTCCTCGCGTCACCAAAGCGAGGTCCGAAGTGGTGTAATCGCCACTTGGTGGCAATAGAGTAGGAAAAGTGACAAGCCCTTGTCAACTAGAGCGCGAACTCGGAGTCCGCGCGCGGCGCCCGGGACTCGGTTGTGAAAAGCATCCCGGGGCAGCGGCAAGGCTAGGGGCGCGCTATTTAGGCCCACACCCAGGGCCGGGCTGTTGCTACAGACCCAAGGCCCTAGTCTCGCTCTTCCCAGGGCCGGTGGTTGGCGCACCTGCCCTTGGGACCTTGTGCTTGACGTGAAAGCCACTGACCCAAGCTGCCGGGCCTTGGAAAGCGCGGCTGGCGTGAGCACCTCCCCGTGCGACCGCGCGGGGAGCGGCGTCGTCCTCTCCGGGAAAGTTCCCTTTTCTTCCCGGACGCTGACCCCCAGTTCCTCCCCCACCTGCCGCCGCTCGGTCCCGGTGATTCTCAGCCCCGGCTGCACGTTTGAATGAACGCGAGAGTTTTTCAACTCCCCCTCCCTGGACTCTGCCACTGGAAAGTCTCCGCTCGAGGCGACCCGAGCGTTGGTATTTTTCAGCACTTCCTGGTAATTCCTGCTGTAAGAGCCTCAGGCCGAGCCTAAACCACCCCGCTTCTCGCCTCTCCCCTCCTGTAGGGGGCGTGCCGGCCTCTCTCCACATTTCTTTAACCTTCCAGAGGCTGGAGCTGCAAAACCGACTTGAAGTGTACTTAAAAGATCAGCAGTGAAGGTCTTTTACTAACTTTTCTTCTTTGGTCAGTTTATTTATTTTCATTTTTAAAAATTTACGTAATAGAATTTATTTTTTAGAACAGTTTTAGGTTCACAGCAAAATTGGGAAGAAGGTACAGAGATTTTGCAAATTTTTCACTCCCTGCTCCAACACCTGCATAGCCTCCCCGCATTATCAGCACCCCCCACCAGAGTGGTACATTTGTTACAACTGATGAACCTACACTGACACATCATTATTACCCAAAGACCATAGTTTATCTTAGGGTTCATTCTTAGTATTGAGCATTTTATGAGTTTGGACAAATCTATAATGGCATATATCCACCATAATAGCCCTATACAGAGAAGTGTCACCTCCCTAAAATTCCCCTGTGCTCCACCTATTAATCTTCCTCCCTCTGCCATAACCCTGGCAACCACTAATCTTTTTACTCAACTCCTTTGGGTCAGTACGGAAGACTGATTACTGAATCTTATGGTAAAAGTATATTGAGTTTTGTAAGAAACCACCAGACTGTCTTCCAAAGTAGCTGCACCAATCAGCAATGAATGAGAGTTTCTGTTGCTCCACATCCTTGTCAGTACTCGGTGTTGTGAGTGTTTTGAATTTTAGCCATTCTGGTAGGCGTGTACTAGTTGTTTTAATTTGAAGTTCCCTAATGACATATGATGTGGAACATCTTTTCAGATGCTTATTTGCCATCTGTATATCTTCTTTAATGAAGTGTCTGCTAAGGCTTTGGCCCATTTTTTTAAATTTTTATTTAAATTCAATTAACATATAATGTATTATTAGTTTCAGAGGTAGAGATCAGTGATTCATCAGTCTTATATAACACCCAGTGCTCATTATGTCACGTGCCTTCCTTAATGTCCATCACCCAGTTACCCCATCCCCCCACCCAACCCACCCTAGCAACCCTCAGTTTGTTTCCTATGATTAAGAGTCTCTAATGGTTTCTCTCCCTCTCTGATTTTGTCTTGTTTTATTTGTTCCTCTCTTCCGCTGTGATCCTCTGTTTTGTTTCTTAAATTGTACATGAGTGAGGTCATATGATAATTGTCTTTCTTTGATTTACTTATTTCACTTAGCATAATATCCTCTAGTTCCATCCACATCATTGCAAATGGCAGGATTTCACATTTTTTTGATGACTGAGTAGTATTCCATTGTGTGTGTGTGTGTGTATACACACACACACACACACACACACACCACATTTCTTTATCCATTCATCTGTCCATAGACATCTGGGCTCTTTCCATAGTTTGGCTATTGCGGACATTGCTGCTATAAACACTGGGGTGCATGTGCCCCTTCGGATCACTACATTTGTATCTTTGGGGTAAATACCCAGTAGTGCAATTGCTGGGTCATAGGGTAGCTCTATTTTCAACATTTTGAGGAACCTCCATACTGTTTCCCAGAGTGGCTGCACCAGCTTGCATTCCCACCAACAGTGTAAGAGGGTTCCCCTTTCTCCACATCCTCACCAACATCTTGTTATTTCCTGACTTGTTAATTTTAGCCATTCTGACTGGTGTGAGGTGGTATCTCATTGTGGTTTTGATTTGTATTTCCCTGATGCTGAGTGACGTTGAGCACTTTTTCATGTGTCTGTTGGCCATTTGGATGGCTTCTTTGCAGAAATGTCTGTTCGTGTTTTCTGCCCATTTCTTGATTGGATGATTTGTTCTTTGGGTGTTGAGTTTGATAAGTTCTTTATAGATTTTGGATACTAGCCCTTTATCTGATATGTCATTTGCAAATATTTTCTCCCATTCTGTCGGTTGTCTTTTGGTTTTGTGGACTGTTTCTTTTGCTGTGCAAAAGCTTTTTATCTTGATGAAGTCCCAATAGTTCATTTTTGCTTTTGTTTCCCTTGCATTTGAAGACATGTCTAGCAAGAAGTTGCTGCAGCCGAGGTCACAGAGGTTGCTGCCTGTGTTCTCCATTAGGATTTTGATGGATTCCTATGTCACTGTTAGGTCCTTCATCGGTTTTGAGTCTATTTTTTTTTAATAATTTTTTTTTTAAAGATTTTATTTGTTTATTTGAGAGAGAGAGAATGAGAGATAGAGAGCACAAGAGGGAAGAGAGTCAGGGGGAGAAGCAGACTCCCTGCTGGGGACTCGATCCCGGGACTCCAGGATCATGACCTGAGCCGAAGGCAGTCGCTTAACCAACTGAGCCACCCAGGCGCCCCGAGTCTATTTTTATGTATAGCGTAGGAAAATGGCCCAGTTTCATTCTTCTGTATGTGGCTGTTTGATTTTCACAACACCATTTATTGAAGAGACAGTCTTTTTTCCATGGACATTCTTTCCTGCTTTGTCAAAGGTTAGTTGACCATAGAGTTGAGGGTCCATTTCTGTTCCATTGATCTATGTGTCTGTTTTTTGTGCTAGTACCATACTGTCTTGATGATTACAGCTTTGTAGTAGAGCTTGAAGTCCAGCACTGTGATGCCACCAGCTTTGGTTTTCTTTTTCAACATTCCTATGGCTATTCGGGGTCTTTTCTGGTTCCATATAAATTTTAGGATTATTTGTTCCAGTTCTGTGAAAAAAGTTGATGGTATTTTGATAGGGATTGCATTGAATGTATAGATTGCTCTGGGTAGCATAGACATTTTCACAATATTTGTTCTTCCAATCCATGAACATGGAATGTTTTTCCATTTCTTTGTGTCTTCCTCAATTTCTTTCATGAGTGTTCCCTAGTTTTCTGAGTACAGATCCTTTGTCTCTTTGGTTAGGTTTAGTCCTAGGTATCTTATGACTTTTGGTGGCCCTTTTTTTTTTTTTGGTCCTATTTTGTTT